AGGCGGCAACCGTCACGGCCATGCTGTCCCACTGTCAGGGGCGGCTCTCGATCCCGCGGCGACCGGCGTTGGTTCGCCGATCTCCACCGTTCGGTCGCGGTTGTTCCTGGTATCGATCTAGTCGACGGTGGCACGCTGCCGCCCAGCCCGAGCTCCGGCCCTTCTCCTAGTTCTTTTTCTCGGCCCGCGTGGTGGCGGGCGGAGTCGGCTCTCACCCCGCCCACGCTAAGAGCACCCCGCACCTTCGCCGGAACTTCTCGGCCTCCTTCACGTTGATGTCGCCACTGATCGTTGTGTTCCTCCCTTTCTCTTGCACGACCCTCTTCGTCCCCGTCGCAGGAGTCCTCTTCCGCTTCGGGCGCCACCTCCGCCGGCAGCTCATCCGTCGACAGGGACAGGGCCGACACGTTGTTCCCCTCCCCCGTCACCCCCCTCCTCTCCCTCCTCCTCATACTGGTGCTGTCGACCGTGCTGACGCTGGCCAGCCCTTCGGCGGAGAAAGAGCAACAAGAAGAAGAACGAGGGAACGATGACGACGACGGCGACGACGACGACGACAGAGAAGCGTCATCCGCGATCACCTCTGCGATTCCTATATCCCCCAACGCCCGGTCGAAATCGACACGCCCACCTCCTCCTTCCGCAGCCCCCTCCGCCCCTTCCCTTCCCCTCTGTCGCTCTTGCTGTCGTGCTTCGCCTGCCGCCTGGTCACGCACCTCTTCCCGTCCGACCACAGCAGCAGCAGCAGCAGCGCGGCCGCAGGAATCGTCGACCACCTCTGCGACAGCAGCCGCACTCGACGAACCCATGGCAGCACCCGAGCACGGACCGAGGTCACGATCGAAGCGGGGCTGCGGAGGCATCTCCAGTGGTGACGGGGTCTGGCAGCTGCCCCAGAACGGGTGCGCCAGGAGCTCCGGCCACGTGGGCCTCCCGCGCGGGTCCTTGTCCAGGAGGCGGCTCACGAGGTCGCGGAACGGTGCGCTCATTCGGGCCCCTTGCCACTCCCCCTTGTCCAGCCCCGGCGGGTGCTATTTTGTGTTGTAGGCAGTAGCGGCCGGCCGCGGAAGGGGGGAAAAGAAGGTCGTTCACGGGATCGTAGTAGCGTGGTAGGGAGGAAGTATCGGGTGAGCCAAGCCGTGGCGAGTTTAGGATGGTGTGTGAAGCTGGGGCGACTGAAGAAAAAGAGGCAGAGAGTTGCGCCTACTGATGAGCCGTAAGGGTAGCACAACAAGCCACGCAGAAGAAAAATGGCGAAGGGATGGGTTGGGTCGACGGGAGGTGTCTTCGACTGCTGGTCTCTGTACGTGGTGGATGCCTTCTTGTTTTTGTCCATCGAGCCGTACGCTTACAACCCTCTCACGCGGGGCGTCGATCGACGACCTACAAAGCTACCCACTCTCTCTGTACTCTCAGTCGGCCCACGAGCCCATCAGCCCGTCGGAATCTGCGGCCTGATCGAAGAGACCTGCTTGTCCGCCAATCGGCACACGATATTGCCACTCTCCTCTACTTCATTGGGTTGCCCGTTTTTTTAAGCCCCCATCAACGTTTCGCACCACTTCTCATACCTCCCGGCGATCTCCAACTACGCCCATAGCGTGAAAAATAAACTTGTCCGTTTACGTTCGTACCCGTCTCCCTCTCTCACCTCGCGCGCGATCATCTCCGCGACGGTGGCGGAAGCAGAAGAGCGGAAAGGGGGCTCGCCGGTGAGGAGCTCGTACAGCACGCACCCGAGCGACCAGAAGTCGCTGGCGAAGCTCATCGCCTGCTCGCCGACGGAAAAAAGCTCGGGCGCCATATAGGCCGGGTCTCTGCCTTCCGCCACGACCGCCGCCGCCGCCGCGTCTTTCGCAGAAGCCCCACCCTGCTGCTGCTGTTGCTGCTGCTTCTGGTGCTGCTGCTTCTCCTGGTGCTGGTGTTGCGAGTAGCCCTCCCCGTCGGCCCTACTACTGTCGCCGCCGACGCCCCTGCCCCCTTCCAAGCTCGCTTCGCCCTGCCCCTTCTCCTCGTCCTCCCGCGAGACTCCGCGCGCGAGGCCGAAGCCGCTGAGCTTGAGGATGCCGTACTCGTCGATGAGCACGTTCGAGGGCCGGAGGTCCCCGTGCAGGTAGCCGCACGCGTGCGTCTGCTGCAGGCCGGCGAGGAGGTCCACCCCGAAAAGCCGGACCGCCGACTCGGGCTCTTGGTGGTCCTGACCAAAATAAAAAAACAGAAGACGACAACACCACGACAACAGGAAACAACGAACCGGGGTCATGGTGGATCGTTTTTTTTCGTTCTTTCGGGATCTCCGCAAAACACACACACACAAAAAACAACGAGCCATGTTGTGTGTTTGTGTTGCTAGCGAGCTCGTGCAGAATACGGGAGAGTGACGACTGGGTGGGGTGGGGGGTGGATCGTGCCTCGGAGGCCGGGCATGGGACGTGGCTCATTTCACGTTTCGAGGCGGGCCACACGAGGTCACCACAGGAGGGAGAGGGGGGGAGCGCGCTGTTCGTCAGGTGTGCAGCAGCACAGAGCAATATATTTCGGGCACCCCGTCGTCATAACTCTGCCTCGTGCGAGGGCGGAAATGGGCACAAGGGCGCGCGTGCGCGCTGATTCGCCTGCCGACATTGGGCTTTCGATCGGGGTGCGAAGAAGACATGCACTGCTTTCGATCGCGTTGCGCACCCGCTTGGTGTCCCTCACAACAAATACACACGTATTGTTGCCGTACCAACGTCGTGTAGTGTTCCTCTTGAAATATACCATGGTAGGTGAGAGCGTTCGCCTTTCGGTGGACGGACAGACTGACTGACCTGCTTGATGAGCGTCAGAAGGTCTCCCCCGCTGCAAAACTCGAGGATGAGCCAGACGTTGTTCCTCGTCTCGTACCAGTCGTAGAACTTGAGGACGTTAGGGCTGCTAAGACGATGGATCACCTGCTCGTATCATTTCGTGTTTGCAACGGTTGTGGTGGGGTGGGGTGGGGCGGGGCGGGGCGGAGCGCCGCTGAATGTTGAATGAGCGGCACCCAAGATAAGAGCAATCGTTGCCAGATGCGTCGTAGTGCTGCTGCTGCTGCTGCTGCTGCTACTGCCTGTTGCTAAACATACTCTCCACACCACTTTGCTCTCTACGGGTTTCATTGCCAGCAATATCTTTGCTGCATACAATGTAGTTCTGCTCTACATCTACTGTATTCTCTTGAAGTATCAACAAAACGATGGTACTTCGAAGTAATTGCTAGACAAGGCATACGTAACGACACAGAGAGACCCTTTCTCAGAGAGAGGGTGTCAAATTCTTCTACAGTGAGGATTGAGAATTAACTGCTGGTTCTGTTACGTCTTCATTTCAAGCTGGATATGGATGCCTATAGAATGGCGGGACGGACACATGCACCCACGCCTGCTTGCTAACGGCCGCTAACAGCAGCACGGTTGCTGCTGGTATTGATACTACACTGTTAATTCAACGCGACAATAAAAAACATCACACACGCGCGCACATGGGGCATCTTGCATATAGGCTCGTCTATTGCTTGTAGACCCTTGCTTGCGTTCGTGGAGTCCCGGCATGTGTGCATGTATGTCCCGCTACACCTACCAATACTGCTGTAAGCGTTATGGGTCGTATCGGCGTCTGTACGTGAGCATGTCTCACCTGGACCTCCTTTACTATGCTCTCCATCCTGCTTTTCTCGACCCTCTTGATCGCCACGTACTCGATATCCATCTTCTCGCGCCCTTTGAACACCTGCGAGTGCTGCCCTGATCCCACCTCCTCGTAGATGTGGTACTTGTCCATTCTCCACTATAGATGGAACGCGTCTCGTCGCTTCGATCTCCTTCCTTCTCGCTCCACGGCTCGATTGATATATTTCCGAAAATCCCAGTTCCCCCGCCGCCGGTGCTAACACCGACGAATAGAGCAGGCAGCGCCCGCGATATTGCTGGGTACGCCTGAAGTTGCAGCAGCAGCAAGATGTCTGTCTTGCCCTTCGTACAGCCCTCCCTGCTTCGTGATACAGCAGTATCGGCGCGTGGTCGGTCACACGCGAGCTCTCTCCGTGTGCGTGAACGGCAGGACCAGCAAGTCAAGCTTTGCCTGGGGGATCCGCCGCGCCCATGGTGGGCCGCTCACGGGCTCGTGAGGACCTTTGGCCCCTTCGATCGAGCACACAGAGGCACAAGGAATGAAAGGAATGATTGCGTCCTTTTGAGACGTACGGTATTGCTACTGGATAGTTGCCGCAGTCTAATCGCACGCGGCGGCTGCTTGTGTGTGCGCGGTAGCTTGAAAGTCTGTCGTTTAGTGTATCTTGGCGCGCCTTCCACAGATTTAAGAACTGATCCTCCCTCGGACCCACCGTCTCCAAGGACAGGGCACCCAGGCCCCCCTGAAGTCAATGCCTAGCGTCGCTAGAAGGTCGCCGTTCCACGCCCTACCCAGCAGCGAAACGAGGAGGGTCGGGGTCAAAGCGACAGCAGCTCTAAATGATTTTTAAAATGATCGGGTGTTCCAGAGAAGCCGTAGAAGTGGCGTTTTTTACGGGGACGGGGGATAGGACTTCCAAGAAGTCGGGCGTTTTTTTCTGTCTGTTTGCGTTTCTCTCCCGTATGCTTTCGCAGGGCAGCCTTCCACCCTTCGCACAGCATGATGCATAATTTTCTTCTCCCCTCCCTCTCCTCTCTCGCAAATGGTGACGTTTCAGGGAGCGGCATTATTCAGGTCGCCGAGCACTTCGCGAAAACGAAACACATCCATCCGCAGTGAGAGTCCGAAGATCATCTGCTAATATGTAACAAAGCAAGTGCTGCCCAGGTTTTGTCCGACCGTGCTCCTACCTGACCAGAGTACGGCCTTTCGATGAGGCAAACTTTAGCCCATGGGTGTTCAATTCTCCCGCGGCCAAACTATACGTATGAGTGTGCACCAGGATGGGTACGTATAGAAGTCGTTTTGGCCACCAAGAACAGAAGCAAACCCTCAGCGCCCGCCCCCTATATACAGAACGCTGTCCACCCGCAAGGCCTTCAACCCACGCCCCCCCGAGACAAGCAACAGCTAAACTACAGTACCATCCCTCGTTTCCCATACACCTCATCACGCTTGCGTTCGCCCTGCAGCAAAGACCCTCCCTTCCCAACACAAAACTTTGGGCGGGAAAAAAAACGTACACAACAACTTGCGCCATACGGTAATTTGTGATGCTACCGCGGACGAAGCCGAAAAAATAAACCAAACAAGATAACCGCGTCCATTGGCATACACGTCGCCACGTCATGCCCACTACTTCTTGACCACTCGTTGTTGTTGCTGTTGCTGCTGCTGCTGCTGCTGCTGCTGCTGCTGCTGCCAAGACCTTCCCCAAAGGTGAGCCGCAAGAGACTCCGAGGAAAGATAACCGCCCGCGCGCTCGCGGACCCCACTTTCGGTCCCGTCCCCGATCAAGAGGCCCGCCTTGGCGGCGGCGGCGTTGTTGGGGATCGGATACAGATACGACGGGGGCAGAATCATCGCAGGCCGGGTAGCGGCGAGAGCGGCGGTGGCAGTGACCGTGGTGTCGTCGTCGGCACGCCTTCGGTTGGGGCTGCAACGCGACGATGCACCAAAGGTAGCACCACCACCATCATCACCACCCCGACCACTACCACCACCACCACCACCAAAAGCATCAGCGTCGCGCGCAGCCGTGCCAGTGCTGTGAAAAATATCCTCTTCCGCTGCGCTGCTCGTGCCACTGCCGTCGGCTGTAGCGGGAGCAGCACGGTCTTCCCCCGTGGCGGAGCTGACCATCCACGCCATGACAGCTCTCGTGAACACCCCAGGGCCTGTCTTGACGATGGTTTCTGTAGCGCTGTCCGCCTCCACTGTCGAGCCGATCGGGGCGAGAAACGGATTAGCGTTAATGTTGTTCTTTTGGTGGTGGTGGTTGCTTGTGTTGCGTTCATTTCTTTCGCTATTCTGCTGTTCTAGCGCTGTTCTTGAGGGCGAAAGACAGGGGCCCACAATTTGAAATACCGCGCATCCGAGGCAGTCGATACCATGGGACGTTTTGTCACCTGGGTCAGTCACGCGGGTTCTCAGACAACTCTTGGGACTCGACCACATTACATCTCAACAGCGGGGGCGGCAGGTCTTGGAGCTGGGATCATCCAGAGGAAACAACAAACCGATACAAGAGACAGAAACGAATACAACTAAGAATGGCCATCGCCCTCCGCGTCTTTGCAAGACCTATCCCACGTATGTGCTACACGGACGCGAAACAAGGACGTCAACGACAATGCCAAAATAGGCCCAACTTCCGCATCCAGCACCATCACAACTCATCGAGCGAACAACACACATTCCCGGGAGGAAAAAAAACAAAAAATCATCTCACCTTCCACAGCCTGTCGCAAGCGGGCACGATCATCCCCACCCAGCAGCCCCGCCAACAGTCCCCCCGCTCCCCCCTCCTCTCCCAACGCCCCCATCAGGGCCGACAGCGGATCCCCCACCGTTGTTCCTTTACCACCACCATCGCCGCCGGCATCCGTAACGCTGCCGGCGACTCCCACGCCAGAGAGTAGCACCCCCGCCGCCACCGATGAAGACGAGGGTTTACCAGGATGAGAAGGAGGGGTGGAAGAAGGCAGGCTACAACAGCTGCTCTTTATTCTGTTCACGATGTCGCGCATGATCGGGTGGCCCGGGCGGCAGCTAGATGGCACGCGTGCGCGCGATTGGTGCGGGGAGGGGAGCGGATGGGAGGCAAGGGGACAGAACAGGGGGCTCAGTGCTTATGAAGGGTATGTACCACCGGCAGAGCAAGTCTCTGCATCTAGGCCGTATTGGTGTTTTCCGAACTTGTTGCTGTGTTCGCTGTTCGCCCAACAGGGGGTGGGCTCTTCAGCTGGGCTGTAAATCTGTTTAGTTTCTGGGCTTTCTTAGGCTCGAGCTCTCTCGCTCCCGACGCAATATATGGTCCGGGGGCAAGGCCAAGCTCTGGTTGGTGCTTGTCACGCTCTCAAAAGACATATGTGTAGGGTAGTTACGTGGCTCAAGAATCGCCGCAAAGTGCTAAAATGACCGCGACGCGTACACACGCGTCATCCTTGAGCTCGCGTACGCGGTGCCCCCCCCCCCCCNTCACCCGATGAGGCCGTTGTTGAGCTCGAACGTGCCCGTGTTAGAAACGCCTGCGTAGAACTCGTAGCGCCTGTGAAGGTCGTCGAATGAGCTGAGGCAGAGGAAGTCCACGTCCACGTAAAGACCGCCGTGCCGAAGCAGGATCTGCACTTGAAAAACGTACGAAACCCGGCGGGGGGGGGGGGGGTACTCAT